GACTGCGCTAAGGAAAGAAAGGTGTAAACTGCCCGGAGCTTTGAAGGTACCCTAGAGCCTTGTAGATGGAGACTGCACTCCTAGAGCTGAACCTGGGAAACATGTCACAGCACAAATCGAGACACAGTCCTTGCACGGTTTGGTACAGACCAAGGTGTCTGTGCTCCACCTGAGTCTTCATCTGAGGGCATTGCTGTCCAGAGGTTTGACATGGTGTAAATTAGGGTGGCCTTGAAGCTGGTCTGTCCTGGATGTTCTAAGCATCCTCCCACACAGGGACATCTCGAGCAGCTCACAGTCAGGAAGGAGCGATGTCCGCTCCTGGGAGAATCCCAGAGGTGCTCCACTGGCTTCACGGCTTCCTGGACGACTGCAATCTGTGGAGCCCATGACAGATAGGTTTTGCCCACTGTGTCAGCATCTGATAATGAGTAGGAAATAATTTCCTGACCAGGACTATTCCAAAGAACGTTTATTACTGAGGGGCGTATATGTTTTCCCCTTGTTTTACACACTCTTAAACATCAACCTCAATTGTTCCTATAGCATACGTGCTACATCGTGATAGGTAAAGCCCCCATTACTGATATACTCACTTTACAGCTCCAGAATGGTCTAATTACATGTGAAAAGAATTTCAATGCTGAACAGCTGCTTCAAAGTACTTAAAATACAAAGGCTGTGAAGTTTTGTTCGGTGCTCGCAGAAGGTGCCAGACTGATAGCACTCCACAGTCCCTGCATGGAACAAGTGGAATAATGTAGCTGTCATCCTCAGTATTGCTTGCTGTCTTTGTATTGTCCTGTTTTTTATCTGTTGATGTAAAAGCACAAGGATGCTACAAACATCCCACAGCCAACCTCTGGAAGGAGGCTGTGCACCATAAAGACTCTTGCGCTGGTTGGCACTAGAGTCCTGCTGACATCAGTGGGACCTGGGCTAGGTGACTGGCTTCAGCTGGAAGGCATGCTTGTGGATTGCATGGTTTTTACTTAAGCCTTTTATGGTGTAACTAATTATTACTGTTACTCATCTCCCCGGATTCTGATGCTACTGCAAAAAAAATCTACTGCAATGGAGCATTACACCCAAAATCTCCTTGTTTGGATTTGCCAGCTTGGGAGAATGACACAAAATTACACATTTGGCTGATTCTGAAGGTGGTCAGGATTGTTTCAGTGAGCTGTGAGTTACGCCAAGGGAGCATGAGATCAAATCAGGGTGTTAATATTGCGAAATGTCAATAAAACTCTCTGCCTAGCCCATCCATAACTCTGAAGCAGGAGCGAAGTGCTGCCGCAGCTGCTCAGGGTGTGTGTGTGTGTAACTGGTGGCAGCAGCAGCAACACTGACCGTGAGTGCAGAGGTACAGCTCTTCTACCCACTAGAACAGCCTGTGGCCCGGGCTGGGGAGTTGTCAAACTGTGTGTTTAGGGCAACTGGGGGCATTTCTCAAACTGTGTCTTCTCCAGTTAGGGATATAAGTCTCCTTCTGGAAGGAACAATGAACTTCTGGAGATGATCTTTGTTTCACACAGCAGCATAACTGCCTTATGACTGTGCTGGTAGGTAACACCCTGCTACTTCTTGTGCTATTGGTGTATTTCCTGGGCTCTGCTCTGTTTCTTTTTTGATGAAACTGTATGAAGCTGTTAATATCACTCGGATCAGTGCACAACTTAGTAAAATTGTTTAGCTTAACTTTTTTGCTCTTTATACTCTTTCTGTAATTGCTTACTGTCAAAAATGATGCTTGTTCTTTCTGCCAACTAAATTGTGCTCTTAGGAACGAGCCCTTGCACAGAAGAGAAAATACATGAAATAACTGATGTAAGTGCTTAGTAAGAAAGTCCCACGATGGCTGGAATTTACCTCCTGACCAAACTCCTGTAAAATCCGTGTGCATGTTCACACAGCTTGTAGAGTGCTGTGTAACCCATGGTGGTATCATGTCTGCTTACATACTTTGTTAGGTCCCTGATACTGTCTCCCTGGAGGAGACCCTTAGGAGGGAAGCTGTGTCTCTTCTGTGGTGGTTGTTTTCAATGGGAAAAAAATAATTTTTTTTCTGTCAGCAGGGCTTATAAGAGACAAGCAGTGATAAAAGCTAATGTGTTCTGCCAAGAAGTTCTCTGTTGAATGCAATCCAAGATGAACTCTATATAGAAAAACAATCCCAGGAAAGAGCCTGCAGCAAGTTAGCTGGGTATTGGGAGAGGAGCATTACAGATTTAAGAGTTAGTGTCAATAGAATGTTTAGGGTTTTTTTTCCCTCTTCTATTTTTGTTGCTTAAGTTTCTCCTGAAACACTGTAACTGTTGCTTATTTGCTTAAATACAGGCTTCTTGTATGCGTCTGCACTTTAACTTGACTCGAGGTAAAGGTGATTTCAGGGATAGAAACTCCCCACCCACCAATGTGGCAAAGTAACAAAAGGGATGGTGGGGCAGTCCAGTGATTGTGCACTTCCCAGCATGTGCTCCCCAGGTACTGCATGGGCCGGGGTGAGGGCTGGGATCCCTCGAGTTGGGTGAGCTTTCCTGTGATACCTAGGTGGGCAGGAGTTTGGCTGAAGACCTGACAGCTCTGGGGGTCCTTGGAGTTTATCACTGACTTGGTCAGCAATTTTTGTTTGCTAAAAGCTTCTGTTACTAATCCCGCAACTTCTGTACCCTACGAGACCTGTGGAGGAAGGAGTGCTGCACCCCCTTCATCACCATCTCTTATGAGGGTCTCTTTCCTATTAAGCCCAGGGACTCTGAAGTCATTCCCACAACTTTTTTTTTTTAATGTGTACTTGTCTATCGCTGTGCCTTGGAACACATACAACTCAGTTGGAGGATTCCAGATGACTTTGGGAGGGCATCAGGTCTGTTAATAACTGAAGCTCTAACCCTCTCTTGACTAGTTCTTTATATGCAGATTGTAATATTAAAAAGCTGAGCAGGAAGATGAAAGATAATTTTCTTAGTTTTTGAGACAAAGGAGTAAATGTTCTGGAGTGTTGCTCATCTGATGTTACATGAGGCTAATGAAATATTGATCACACGCTTCACCATGTACACAGCAAATAAAGGAGGAATTTTCAGTTGTAAGTTATTTCATGTCGTTGGTATCTGGGAGGCAGATCTTCTGGCAGTGCTGGCTCTCAGCAACAACTTATCGCAGTAGCTTTTAGAAATGCAAATAGAAGAGAGACCATATAGTGGAAAAGAACCTTGTCTTTGAGGCTGAGAGAAGCACATGTATCCTGGGCCTGATGGGTAAACATCTGGGTTTCAAAGCTGCTTGTTGAGTTCAGTGCTACTTACTGTAAGGAAGGGTAATCCACACAAAGAACGGCTAAGAGCATGAAAGCAACTCTTCCAAAGCAATGTAAGGCTGCTGAAATCCCTGAGGTCAAGCAGGGGGAATTCCTATACAAGAAATCGATTGGTTCAGTTGGAATAAGCCTTGTTCCCATTCCCTTGCTTGGCCTCGCTCAGTTGTGGTTAAATGAGGAGAGTGGATGATAATCACCCGATTATCTTGCTGTTGACGGGCTGTGGAACAGGTGGGAGCCCTGGCTTGTCCTCTTGCCAATGCCAGCTCCAGGGATGGGTCCAGCATTTGGAAAGAGAAGTAAGATGTTCCACAATCTAACCCAAGTGCAGTAAGATGAGTATATCAGGAGAGGACCTGGAATAGTTAAGTCTGCTTGCTCATCTTGCCTATGTTCCTTACTCAGACTCCCCAATTACCCACCATAAGAGAGAGTAACTTTTCTCAGTAGTTAATTAAATATATTAGGAAAGACTTCCCAGGTATAGGATACAATTTCTGGTTTCAGACCAAAAGGTTAACTAGGTCAACTTACAGCAGAATCTTCGATTTGATATGGGAGACCTTGGCACGGGGGAGGCTAATGCTCCGTGCTGCTGCCCTGCATCTACTAGTGTCACCACAGTTGATCCCAGCTGTTCTGGAATCTTTTGGTCCCAGAGTTCTTGGATTTTGTGCCATGCCACAACCAAGACAAATTTAAAACTGTGTATGTGTAAACCAGCAATTTTTTCTACAACAGTTAGTAGGAGACTGCTAATGAAGCCACTGTGCTCAATTACTCTCCTAGATACATGTTACTAAAGCTTTCCTCTTCATTTTAATAGAATTTTTTTTCACCTTATTCCCTATAATAGTAGCAAAACCAGAGCTCCGGGCTGAATGTGTTCTTTCTAAGCTACAGGTTGCTGCTGCATACTGATACCTATCACCTTGGCATTTAGCTCTCTGACTACACTTTAGGTTAACACATTGATTAATCCAGAAGTTAGATAAAAGATAGTTTATTTATGATTGAATATTCATTTTTAAATGGAATATGCTACTTATTTTGCAAAGCCCATGACATTTTGGCTTTGTTACAGATTTATCCAGAACACCTGAAAAAGTACTGTAGTTAGCCGCGAGACACTGTTTCCATATTTCAGCTTTATTACTCAACGGTTCCTAATTTTCTACAGCCACTTAACTCCATTCAAAGTATTGCAAGGTCTATTGCTCATTCCTAACTTTTCCATTAACCTCTTCCCATCACCCCTAATAAATTACTACTCGGGTTCCTACAAATAACGTATTTTCATCTCTGCTGTAATGATTTCAGGTGTGCAGTTGCCCTGTCTCCATTTTGTCTCCATCATGTCTGTAACACAGTAACCTGGCATTGCATTAGAAAAAGCTGCGTTAAATTTTCTAGGCAATACCTAAAGCAGCATAAGTGGCTGTATTTTTTTTTCCACATGAAAGAAATAAAGTTACGTAGACAAATGTATTAATTTTACATGGGGTCTTGTATGTTTTTCCCTATCAATAAGTGACAGTTCTGATTATGGACACCCTCCAAAGTTTGTATTGGTTAATTGGTGTCATTATACTGACTTCTGGGGGCATTAGATTCAGCGCTGGCTTTCACATTTTTAAAAAAATGCCCTGCCTGAGTCACTGAATAGTACCAACGTAGGCTATGCAAGTTTTACTTTACTTAGAGCATAAGACAAAATGGAATCCATCACAACGGTTGGGAATAAAGCACACACAAGCACCAGTGCTTTTTCTTTCAGCTTTGCTACCATGTAACGTGCCTTGGGTGCAGGAGACGTTAAAGCATCTACCATAGCATCTACAACTTCATTGCCGTTAGGGCTTCCTTCACTGAGTATGCTGTTGAAAAAGTTTGCCCGCTCTTGCACATACTCCTTATTGTAAACTGCCTTTTCCTCTTCACTGAGTTCATTCCAAATCTCTTCGGCACTGACTGGTGGCTGAATTTTTGTAGAGCGTGCATAATTTCCTGGCTGAATAATACAGACCTAAAAGCAAGATGTTAAACTTATCAAGATGCAATCAGTCATTCTGAATTCAATTAAACAGTATAGTCAGTAAAACAGATCAAAAGCTTTCTGCAGACAGATTTCTTCCAGAAAATGCTGCTTTGTTGAAATTTTAACCTTGAAAACTTGACTGAAATAAAATATATTCCTGTGAAACATTTAAGATTGCAGAGGTGCTTTATTCTGACTTCCTGATTTCACTCTGATGTTAATGTCCCTGTTTTGACTACTCGGCATACTTTCACAGAATGCAATAGCGCATCTCTGATTTTCACAGAATGCTTAATGGTATAAATGTTTTGACAATACTGAGACAAAGCATTTCAGTATGACTTTGATGTCTCCAAAGTGGAATACTTCGATTTTTCACTCAGTGGTAAATCTTGCAAGGGGTAATTTTTTTGCCCCAATTTGTGACAAAAGGAGATGTCAAGGAAAAATAGAAGGTCCTGGGGAAAGAAGTGCTGTTTTCCCTGAGTAGGTGTAATTAAAACAGGCCTTGTCAGCCAAGTACAGAGGGGACCAAAGGTCCTGGTCTAGCTCTCACTAGTGAATTTCCATAGATTTCGGTGCATGTAGGTTTAAATTGAAAGCAAAGAAATCCTTTGCTGCTCCGCCTGTTTTCTTTGCATGTATTTGTTGCTGCTGTTCTAACTTCTGAGACTCCTGAGAAATTTCAGAGCAGGCTCAGCACTCTCAGTATTGCATGCTTTTCCTCAGTTAGCAGCAGGCTTGCTTAAACTATTTGTAGATATACAACATTAAAAACTCCATGGCATTTAACTGACCTGATTTCTGAAGACTACAAAGTGAGGAAAAACGGTGCTGAGCTGTGTAAGAGACTTGGGGATCTGACAAGCATTCTCTGGAAAGTCTGAGGTAATATAAAACCTTAATGTCTCCAATCCGCCACACAGCCCATCTCGGCCTGCGTGGCAGTCGGCACGCTGCAGGGAGCAGGAAGGGATGCAGGGAAGCTCCAGCAGAGAGGCAGCATGTGTAGGTGGGGGCACCTTGTGCTACCTCGGGTAGGCTTCTCACAGGGCATCTTTTGGAGCTAGCACCTTTGGGTGCTATTTTCACGTCTTTAGTATTTGCCAAACTAATGCCAATAGTAAACTCCCCACATTTATTTTAAACAAAGGAGGTTTGAAAACTTCATGTTTTGGAGCTTTTGGGAGTTGGCTAGGAGAGAAGGAGAGATGCTGCTTTTTTCCCCTTCCTTGATTTTCTGTAGCCTTCTTTCTAATAGAAGACACATACTTTGTTTCCCACAGGCAGCCAGCTTGCCTGGCCAGAGTTCAGTGGGAAAGAGCCATATCTCCATCCATTCCTTGCCACCACTGGGTGACTTCCTCCTGAAAGGACAAAGGGAATGGCAGGGCAAGGAAGGGGAGCAGAGGGAAGAGGGACTGTATATTCTGCAGGCTCTCTGCAGGGTAGGTTCCGAGACAAATGCCAGACAGTGTCTTACATACAGCAAGACACAGAAAAATAACTCTCATAGATATTCTGGAAATGTTTGTCAGCCTGGCTCACTGCATTGTGTGCTGGGGCTATTCCAGGGGTGGGGAGCAGTAAAAAAGTCCCAAACCCACCAGAGTAACTAACCTGTTAAACTAAGCTCTTCCATGCATTTGAGATTATCCTCAGCTAATCGGTTCAAATCCTCATCATGCTGTGTAGTATTAGAATGTGTAAAATCACTTGCATTTTATAGCATTTTTTTATTTATCCGAGAGGGGTAGTTAATAGATGCATAGCTATAATTTCTTCTAACATAAAGTTTACAAACAGTGCTGTAAATCTGTGTAGTAAAGAGTACACCAATGTAAATCCTCTAGGGAAGACTTTTAGTGTTTGAGAAGAGTGTTTCAGCAGTGGAATGACTCCAAGGAAAAAGCCTAGTGAAGGTACTTAGTGATCTAAGCTTGAGGTTTGACTATCAGTGTTGCTTAGACAGGGCACTAAGAGTACTCTTAGAGCCTCTTAGGTTAAGAGAATAAAAACATAATTACTCTACACTGTACTGCCTCTTGCAGTGTAGGTGTTCCCACAAAAAGGAAGGAGCTTTTAAGCACTGATGTTGTGAGGCAAGAGAGAGAAAAAGAACCCCTCTGGTAGCTGACAAGCCTTCCTTTTTGCTGCCCATTGCTCACACCTGGGCTCTTTGCTCCCACAGCCACCCCAGAGAAAGTTTCAGTTACCTGGTATTGTTAGGAGCCCTTTGCAGAGTGTGGCACTGCTCAGGCAGGCCTGACTCAGTTTCTTCACTGTAGAGGATGTGGAGAAAGGGTGGAAGTTGCAGGGTTGGCAAGAAGAAGGAGAAGTGCTATCCCACAGCTTCTCAGAACTGCAAACATCACCCAGGTCTGCTGTTCTCAGTGATTTCCAGCTCACTGATTAGAGAAACCACCTTTTTCGAAGGGGAAGCTGCACCCATGGATTCAGCTCTGCTCTCTATCTTTGTCATTTCGATGCATGGGTCTTAACTTCGCACAAAATTAGATATTATTTTGCATATGCTTGTTCTTGTTCCCTTGGCCAAAATTTCCACCCGCATGCCATTGTCTGGTATTCTTTGTGTAAGTCACTTGCTTCTTTCCCCACAAAAAGATGCATTTTGGCTCTGTAGGAATTTTCAGGAGTGAAACTTCTCTCTTTCTCATATGAAAATCAATGTTAGAAATAGCAGGGAGTTTCACACAACAGCTACTCATTAAATCACTTACCCGCACACCAAACTTCTTCATTTCCAGTCTTAGAGCGTCACAAAATTTTTCAATAGCAGCCTTGGTCATAGAATAAATGCCATTTCCCAGAGCGAAATAGGCAATAATGCTGGACATGAAAACAATACGTCCTGGAAAGAAAATAGTGCAAATAACTTCACTCTCAGTCTTTAACATAGAACTGATTTACCCGAGTCTTCTGAATTGCTAATAAGGAGGTATTTAGCATGATGCTGTTTTACTACATAGTATGCCAAAGCTGGGCTCTGTAAGCATGCAGTCCCAGAACTGAAGTGCACTCAGTTCTGTTAAAAAGAGAATATCACACAAAAATCTTCCATCTAGTGACAGATGCTGGACTAGGCAAAGCATAACACATTCCCAACATGGTGCTTATTCCTTTTGAGTCTGAGACAGGATGAAAGAGATGGAAACAAAGCAGTCCCCTAAAAACTTGAGACTGAAAAATAGTAATAAAAGACTATACTAGTAATAGGAGAAGGACTGCAGAGGAGAGGAGCAGATGGTTTTCCCCATGGTGGATATATGACTACTAATACCATTTTTTCTGCACTAATGATGTCTCTGCACTGAGACCTGGCTTACAACTGTGCATATAAAGTCAAAACCAGACTGTACAGTGATAAGCTTCACCAGAGAAAGGTGACTTGACAAAATGTGTGCAGCCTTACGCTGCCTTGCTGTGATGTCCCTGACCTGTGCTGCTTTTTTCCCCTTTATAATTCTTGCCAAGTGCAGGCATGCCTTAAATAGCAGAGATTTCTGATTTGAGGCACTGGGATGTCATTCATTTCCATTGTTTACTTGTAAACTTCTATCACATAGTAAGAAAATAGAGTAAGAAATGTGTGAATGTGGGTATAGAAATACCAGAGGTGAGAGAGAAGGTGGCCTCATCACTAACAGTACCGAGAACATAGTTGCAATCCTATTGCTGCCACAGATGCAGATAACGTCTGCGCCCCAGATCTGACCAAATGGTATAGACTTGTGGGATATCAAAAGGGTATCGTGGGAATGCAGTGAAATCTGTCATTCTGAATTAAGTTCCATGCCTTCCTACACAGCGTCTGGAATAAATTGTATATACAGTACTGGGAGAACAACTACCAGCTTGCTGATCAAGATGCTACATCAGCTGGCCTGACCATCTGGAAAAGTTACACGGGAATGTTGCTGCTCTCAGAGTAGGATGGATTCTAGGCTGGAAGGCAATACCTCCCTTTACAAGAGTTAATAATCTTGAAGTTTTTCTTGGAACAGGTGCTCATCCTAAAATGGCAGTATGCCCCTTCCTTCCTGTCCAGAGGAGAGCAACAAAGCTGGTGAGGGGTCTGGAGCACAAGTCTTATGAGGAGCAGCTGAGGGAGCTGGGGTTGTTTAGCCTGGGAAAAGGGAGACTGAGGGGAGACCTTATTGCTCTCTACAACTACCTGAAAGGAGGGTGTGGTGAGGGGGAGGTCCATCTCTTCTTACAAGTAACAGGCAATAGGACAAGAGGAAATGGCCTCAAGTTGTGTCAGGGGAGGTTTAGATTGGACATTAGGAAAAAATTCTTTACCAAAAGGGTTGGCAAGCATTGGAACGCACTGCCCAGGAAAGTGGTTGAGTCCCCATCCCTGGAGGTATTTAAAAGATGGGTAGACGAGGTGCCTAGGGACACGGTTCAGTGGTAGAATAGCAGTGTTGGGTTAATGGTTGAACTCGATGATCTTAAAGGTCTTTTCCAACCTAAACCATTCTATGATTCAGAAAACAGCTACTGGGTAAGTGATGGTAGGATGACTTCCACCTCCTTTATCTAGTAGCTAAGTGACTGGGGGCACACACCCAGGATGTGGGACACATCATTTAACTTCTTTGTGTAAGGCAACTGAAAACCAGCTTTCCCAGGAGAATGCTCTAACATCCATAATTCAAGCTTTTCATTTGGAGAGGCCACTTGCTGCCCCCAAAAACATGAGCTTTAGATGTCCTGACTGGTCCTGCAAGAAAGGAGAAGGGAAACCTAGGATTCTTTCTATAAGTGCCCTGGCCTCCTCTCCTGCATAGATGGGACTTGAAAATGGAGTGCAGGCAAGGCAGCATTGACAGCCAAGAATAAGATGCAGAGTGCTCTTTTGAGATAAGGTACTATGTATGTGCAGCCATCCAGACTCAAATCTTCTAAAAGTTTATAGATGTGCTTAATGTCATACACACAATTAATCCCTTTTACTTCAAAGTAACCCCTTGCAGTTCATGAAGTCAGAAAAATGTCTCTGGTGGATGAGCATCATGGAGTTTTAGCAGTAAGTAGGACATCAGGGAAAAAAAAAAAGTGATGTCTCCCTGTGTAATGGCCACGTAACACATCCATTGTTTCTCACTGAGTAGATACAAGAGCACATTATTTTTCGAAAACACATCCAGCTTGCGGTATTTAGAAGTTTCTTTTTACATCAAAATACCACCAACCAAAGGCAACCAAGCAGAAAGAAGCAGAGTAGCCAAAAAGGGGATGCTTTTATCTTACCAACATTTTGTGTAACAGTGACATCTGGGACTTCCAGATGAAACCTAGCACTTACTGTGCTTGATGCTGTATATGCACAGAACAAGTCCTCACCTTAAAGAGCTTACAACTTAAATAAACAAGGTAAGCAAAAGAGGGAGAAAGGAAAAAAGGGTATCTTTGTTTCCCAAAAGGATAGGTAGGGAACAAATTGCAAAGCAATTGAGACATGCTGCAATGCTGTAGAGGGCTGTCTATCTCAGAAGAAAGGATAAAGCCCACACGTATGGAGGTGCGTGCAAATGCATTTATCCCATTCGATACCCAGGCATGCATCTCTGCACAGCACCGTTTCAACATACTTGAAGTTTCCTGCCCAAGGTCACAGAGAGGATCTTGCTAGGCCTGGAACTGGAAGCTGGATGTCTCTAGTTCATCTCTGTAGAATCATCCTTCCTCTCCCAATTGCTAAACAGTAAAATAGTAAAGCCTAAATAATAAAGTTAAGCAGGAGTTTATTGGATCTTTGTGTTTTCTGATCGTCAGTGGTTACAAAGTCTTGCCTGGGCTTAATGATCTAGTGTAAGCATTTTTTTCTCTTTTTTTTTGTGACTCAAACACTGAGATAGTTTGTAATTTGTCAGTACCTTTTTCTATGTGTTGTAAAGATAGACTCTTTAAGGGTATTTTTTCTCCTTATGACTTTACCCTCTTTTCAGGATCAAGTTGCTCTTTCAGGCCACACAGGAGGTGGCTGTCATTTCAGTTCAATGAGAGACAATTAAGGCTTCTTTTATAGATGCTACATTACCCTGATTATAGTAAGCTAATTATTCTACCACTCTAAATAACAGTGGATTAGCATTACCCTTGTATTTCCTTAGAAGGGGCAGAAATGCCAGGGTTGTCCTGATGCTCCCAAGGAGATTCACATCTGCAAATTTTTCATATTTCTCCATAGACAGCCACCCTGTCTCGCCAAATGTTGATATTCCTGCATTGTTGACAAGCCCCCAGAAACCTATGGAAGAGAAATGTCTCAACAAGCATTTTTCACTGCAAAACAAACACCATTAGGTGACAAAACACTGGTGATTTGGACCCTTGGAAACACCTTTTTAGTTGTGTTATCTTTTTGTCTTTTCTGCTTGTAAGCGCAGGCATGTTTTGTTTAATGAAGGAATGTAATTGTGGCCATTACCTGGACTATTTAAGTCTCAGTGCTATTTAATAATCACTCACTTTATCATTGTCTTAAGTTATTTATGAATAACATGATCTAGGAGATGACATCTTACTGCCAATGCGGTGTACCATAATATTTTAATTACTGTAATCCCACTGTGTGCTATGAGCAGCTTTGTGAAAATTATATTAAGCAGTCTAAAGGCTACGACTAAAGTGCTTGACTAATTTAGGAGCCTAAGTCTTGCTCCTTTTCCATGATTTGAGCTTTGATTCCTTCTGAAATCAGCCAGAATCAGGTACACAGCACTAGGTAAAGTAGCCAAGTAAGGTCAGTGGCTATGGGTTGGTTGGTTGGTTGTTTATTTTATATGCTTGGACAACACTATTCCCCACATAACAACAGGTTTTAGTGCTAAGGAGCCCAGCCTCCTGAAATGCAGTAAGATTCCAGTGTTTACAAGCAGAATCTATCAACAGCAAAGCTTGTTCTGACACAACTCTCTACCAGAAAGTCAAAGCCCTTTAGCCCAAAGCCACAGAACACTTGGTGTGAGCACTGTACAGTGCTAATAACCTCGGCTGTTGGAAATGCTTTTTCGGTGAAGTGTAGAGTGCTCGCAGTCTGGAGCTGATGTGCTGACTAAATGCTGATTAAGCCATGCTGACTTGTTCTTGCCTTCAGAGCACATATCTGTAGATGTATGGTAAAGCAGTGAGTGACACGGTGCTTTTGAAAACATTCCCGTTTCTGTTCTCAAATCCTGACTGAGGGTATTTCTAGGGTGACCAGCGGTGTGACTAAGACATAAGTAGGGTAGCCTGACTTGCACTGAAATAGCCAAGTCTGCAGCCTGTCTCTGCCAGCCTTGAAAATTTTGCTTATGCATTTTTTTTAAGATTTCTTGTACATGCCTGAGGCAAATGATTTTTTTGTCATGCCTTCTACAGGATTGCCGAGCCTCCTAGGGTGCTGGTGAGGCAGAGTGGGTAACAGTGCCTCTTTTCCTTCCTCTGCACATAGGGTCTGGGGCATGGGTGTGACGCTGACCCAGCTGCAGCCTCCTGTGTGGCAAAGATATTCTCAGAGGACCTTTGGTCACCCTGATGAAGGTGCTGCAGAAACCCTTGGGCTGAAGTCTTTTCTTTCTATCTTATCTGACAAAGCTACTGTGATGATTTCATGGTATCTTTGTCCTTCCAGAGCCCTGCCAAGAGCTGTAAATACAGGATTTCCTTCATAACAAAAGAGTTAAAGATGAATCAGTTTTCTGAATGAGTTTGTAAAGCAGAGCTCTGTAAGCTTTCCTAACGTATATACACTACTACTTGTATTGATTACGTAATGAAATTGGTGTTTAAACAGAGAAAGAAACAAAGTTCTTTGAATGTCTCATCTGCAGAGCAAAACACTCAGATACAGGAATTTACCACACAGAACTTAGATAACTCTGCCCTCCAAAGAGAATAAATCATTATTCAGCAGTCTGTGCCACAGCAATCCTTGACACTGGACCTCTCTTATAACTTTAGATACAGACTGACTGTTGCCCTTGTAAGGCAGCAGTTTCCTGTGTACTCACCTCTTTTCTACTGCCCGAAATGTTAGTGGACAGAGGAGAGGAAACAGACTACAAAATTGGCCACTGGAATTGGGCACCCTCACCTTCCTTCTTCCTCCTGCCATTGCCCTGTTGTTCCAGGCCTTTCCACCAATCCGTGGCTTTGTTTCTCCTTCTTAAAATGGAACTAGCCCCATGGGACTAACCTCCTTGTAAAATGCTTCAAGATCAATGGATTAGGGAGTCCTCTGTAAAAGCTAATTATCAATATTTTTGTACTTGCACATGATCTGATCTGCAGATGGACTGAGTAGCTGCACACCCCATCTGTTTCTACTTAAGGCTGGAGGTGTCTGTATGCAGGTTTATTTTTACACAGCCTAACTCTAACACAACACAAACTAAAGCCTGGCATCACTGAAAAAGCTGTTCCCTGATCTTCTCAGCTTTACCTTTCCTAATTAAAAAAAAATAAAAAAGTTATTTTGCTTCTGCCACTGCATCCTGCACAGCACAGCAAGAACACTTGCTCCACATATCCCTGAATTCATTAGGACTTCAAAAATACAGCCATTAAACTTAAGACAACTTATTTTCTTCTTCTTTCTCTAAATTGTGAAACACGGAATTTAGCTTGCAAGGCTTAAGTTTTCTCTCCAGCCATTTGCCTCAGGCACTTCAAAGATTCCAGGTGGTTAGCGGTGAGGCCAGCCCATGTGTATAAACAGGCAGAATTCACAGAATAATGGCTCCTTCTTTCTGTGCAGTGGCCAAACCAAAGTCAAGAGGAAAAAAAACTGGCTTGAGCCAAACCGAAACAGACTTTTCTGAAGAGAAGATTAAGTAAAAAATAAAAAGAGATTTTGCTCAGGGTCAGCTCAAAATGTTTTGTTTGTCCTCAAGTAAAACATACTGGTTTTTTAGAACATTTTGGCATTCCCAAATGGGAAATGTTCTGATATTTTCCACAAATTTTCTTGCCACTTTGTTCAGTTGAATCAATTAGCAAAATTCTACCCAAGTAACAAACAGTTCATTATCCCCTTACGCCACTTTTTCAGAAAATTTCCTATCCCCTGAGAAACAACCTGCTCAGCTATGTACTTGGGGTACTTGAATCTGCTTTGGTCTTCCTTTCCTGAAATGTTTGTGGTAAAAATTAGTGCTATAAACATGTGTACAAAATATATGGTATATTTGCTTAGACAAGTGCAGCTCAGGTAACCTGCGAGATATAGTCCTTAGATGGAAATCTAGAAAGAAGAGGCACAAGTAAGAATTGAACAGCAGAAAAGAAAAAGATAATTGCATTTTTTCAGAGTGTCCGCGCATGGACACATTAGGAAGAAGCAGCTGATGTTTGATCTGGAAGGGAAAAATTACTCAGACTGTCAAAACAGAACTCAGTCCACACACATTTTAGGAAGGAGGCTATTAGACTATGCTACCACAAGCAGGGAATAAATAAACTGGAAAGCAGAACTGGACGTCAGAGAGATTTTCACTGCTCTCTGTGTTGGGGAAAATGGATCCTGAGGACAAAGATTAAGAGATATAGCAGGGGATCTAAAGAATCACTTTAGTAAGCCTAACTTAAAATTAGTGAGGCTTTCAGGAGAAGAACACTAGCTCTCACATCACCTCCCAGATAATTTCTACTTTAAGACATGTTGACCAAAAGGCACATATCCAAAGTCCGTATTTAGGCCCAAAAGATGCCTGATATTTTTCCAGAAACTCCTAAAAGTACTCTTACTATTCAAGTCAATCAAGCTGTGTGCTTGCAAAACCTTTTGAAAATCAGGCCATTTCTAGTAGGTGCCTACACACAGATAATACCTGAGTTTGGCCAGATTTTCTAAACTCAAGCATATATTCTTGGTATTGCTCATCTTTGGACTTTCTCATCAATACCTGAGCCCATGAAAAATGACAGGCTCTTTCCTGAAAGATTCCAATCCAGTACTAAAAGAAAGCAGCCAAAGGAAGGAGAGTGTGATTTGCCATATTCCTACTGAAAAAAATGGAGAGAGGGAACAAGCCAATCTGTCTGTGGCAATGCAGGGTGTTTGTGGTAACAGGTCAGCTGAGACTCCTGAGTTTCAGATACGTACCATCCTTTGCTGAGAATATTATACTGTGGCTGTCTTCATTGCGAGGATGGGTCTATCTGAATAGGAAGTCTGGGCTAAAATACGGTACCGTGGGCCTGCTGGGTGTATTCTGTGAATAGGAAATCTTGATTAAGTGGAGGAGAGTATTTAATAACTCTGGAGTAGGAGGTAGGACTAAAAGTAATATCCCTCCCTTCCAGCTAGCTACATGTCACCCACTCGCAAGAGTCAAGGAAGAAAAATTCCTGTTTTACACAGAAGCAGCAAATCAGAAAAAAAAAAAAAAAAAAAAAAAAAAGAGGTTTGCTGTAGAGCTTAAGAGTTGCAAATCACCATGCTCCAAATTCCCAGTCTATTTCATGCTGGTTTTACTGTGCAAATGCAAGAAGTTTCTTCCTTTTAAGCAAGAAAGGACTCTAAATATTTTAGAAAGACATCTTAATGAGTGCACAAGCCATAAAAACAAATAAAGAAAAAGAAAGACATCAGAACCAGCAGATTTTTGTGGAGGTACAGTTAGTTAGCTCTAGATAATGAGTTGCGTACCATGGAAATTGATTTGCCATCCGTTTCAGACTGACATAATTTCACAGTCTAGAATAGAACAAATATTTACAAGGAAACAAACTACGAAGTGGCAGAATGTCCAGCTAGGTCTGTTACCAATAGTTTGGATTTCTACACTTCTGTAACAGAGAGAGAGAAGGTGGCATTAGCTGTCTCATGGTTATGGCATAAGTGGAAGGTATAGGGAGTACTGTGCTTTATTCCTGAGATTTAGTTGTACATTTTGTACTGAATAGCCTACATAAAGCAGAAATGATCCTGAGCACAGGAAAATACCAGAGCACGATACTCCTCCATCCTGGATGACTTCCCTTGCCACCAATAACTGCTGAGTGAGCCTTCTCGGATTCGTTCTCCCCAGACCCAGGGACTCCTCGTGCCTTTCTGTGCAGTGAACTGAGTCAGCAGGA